ATGATCTGCCGAATCTCCTCATCACTAGCCCGACACCCTCCGGCATATGATGACGTGTCCTCACCATGATCAACCTCTGAAATACAACATACGATAAATTAGAATCCACTCGAGCATACTCACACTCGACAATCCATCCCTCCTTGATTCTTGGTATTCCAAAGATTCTTATTTGGACCGTGCACCGCCCCGGTGCTTTCAGTAGTACGGGCCCAATACTACTGTCCACACCGTCTCAGTACACACCCCAAATCTTCCTCTTCGGATCCCAAATCCCAAGTACTCTATCATGCGTAGACCACTCTCTAATAGATCTCTCATAAGCCCCTCGCTGCTACCTACTCACTCTCAGGCATCTCATAGCAGCTCACCTCTCCCTAGGCTAAGGCATCACAAATCAGGCCACTCTAGTCCTAATAGCAATACCTAGCCTACTCTAGCATGCAGATACATCATATCAATATCAATATTACATAATATAAAGGTATTTTGGGAAATCACCGTTCGGGCGCTGACTGATCGTACACACGTTTCTTCCTTGAATTTTTTCTTTTTCAAGAAAATCTTTTACTCTTAGAAAAGTTAAGTTTTCTTTTGAAAATATTTTTCCAAATCCTCAGTTTGAGTTCAAATACTCCCGAAGGTGTACCCGAATCCCTCAAACCAAGGCTCTGATACCAAATTGTAACACCATGAATTTCAAAACAAATTTTTCAAATTTTCGTAAAACATAATTCATTTAATATTCATAAAACAACCATATTAATTATCCAACTCAAGTCAATACAAAATCCCAAGATCACAAATGTATAAACTCCGTGTGTGTGTACGGATCAAGTCGGCGCCTTCCCGCGGTCGTCACTAGTACCTGAAACAATAACATCAAACACTGTAAGCACAAAGCTTAGTGAGTTTCCCCAAAATACCACATATTAGCCACTCGAGGCTATAACTCTGTGGGTTCGTGCACCCAAACTTTGTGAACCCTCAGGTTCTAACTCTGTAAACATGCACAGCATAAATCACATAGAAATAATGAAGTACAACACATCACATACATAGCATACAAATACTCTATCACATAACTCTGGTTACCTACTCAAGGTAAAGTATAGTGAGAAGACTCACCTCACGTATCTCGGTTTCTCACGAATCCTGGAAATCCTTCGTGCTCGATCCTCCGAGCTCTAATCCTCCTATAACATCATATGTCTCTGATTAACACTTTATATCTCTAAGGTTGACTATCCCTAAGAAGTCAACACAGGTCAACTCCGATCAACGGTCAATGGTCAACTTTGACCGGACTCGGCGAGTGCGTTATGGCGACTCGGCGAGTCTAGATGTTTTCACCAACTCTCTAGAATTCTCTTCCTACACGTCGAGTACTCCCCCTGACTTGATGAGTTCCACCTGGAAGAAACGCGGGGCCACCCCGACTCAACTCGCCGAGTCTCAAGAACAACTCGGCGAGTCCCAGTCCGACTCAGTTCACCTGTCGACCCTCTCTAACTCACCCTGACTCACTGAGTCAACCTATGACTCGACTGGACCACTCACTGAGCGAACTCAAGGCAATCTTCAAACTACTCGCCGAGTCTGTTCATCGGACTCGGCGAGTCCATGCCATGCAACCACTCCAACTTGCTTCTAAGGTCAGATCTGCTCCCACAATTTATAGATCTGGCCTTCCTAGACTGATTCATCACGTAAAGCCCCTAGCTTGGTGTCCATAACACACCCCATGGCTTATAAATAGCATTTTGACCTAAGGCATAAGGATTCCAATCCAAAACCTCCATTGATTCCTAAAAAGCTTGGGCAAAGGGACACTCTGGACCTCTAAGGGTCCAGATCTATGGTTTAAATTGCTTAAGGGACCAAGGGAGCACTAGATCTAGCCACAAGAGGGTTCAACAAACCCTAAATCAAAATAAACATCAACATGGAAAAGGATATCTCGAAAATATTACCACAATAGTGATGCTCTGGACTCCAAACTCTCAGAAAATGGCTCCACTTGCTTTCCCTTAGCTGGTTCTCCCTTTCCTTGCAAAAATGACACCTCCAAGATCAATAATGGCCTCCTACTTTGCTCCAAACGCTCACACTCGATTAGGGTTTCACTCAAGGGACTGGTGAGCACAAATGACGGCCATAAGGCCCTTTAAATAGGTCCCAACCCCGAGAAATTAGGATTTCATTACACAGCACGGACTCGCCGAGTCCATATCCTGGACTCGCCGAGTCCAGCGCGATCCCGCGACCAGATCCGCGATCCTACTCGGCGAGTCTGAGCTCCAACTCGCCGAGTCCCCACTCAGAACACCAAAATCATAAACATAAAAGATACCTGGAAATCCGACGGTTACAGTAAAACCATATACATACCAAAGTAAAGGGAGGTAGAGGAGGCCGGGGGAAGTAGTCAAGGCCAGTGGGGGGGGATGGTCGTCTACTTGAAGAAGACTCCATCAGTTTAGTGGGGGAATTTGGAGCA